AATAAGCATTCAACATCAGCAAGACAAGTGTCATGTGCAGGTTTTCTCAAATCAGTAAACTACAACTATTACCATAATTCGCCTCAGACATTGATCATCCCATGTACTCAGTCAACATTAATGTAATCGGTGACTTCCCTTAAGCAAAGTCACTCCACTCATATATTACTAGGAGCTCAATAGTGGCCCCATACTAAACTATTCCATAAACACTGCATCTCTTATTTGTTTTTCTCTTAGAAAAAACAAACATTAGCAACACACATTGACCATCGGTGGTCAGGCGCAGGTCGACAGGTTCCAGAGGTGCCATAAAAACACCATAAAGTTAGCCATCCATAGCTGTGGAAAGAATGTTATTCACATCACCAAAGTAACCTTCACATTTTCCCAAAAACACAGTGTAACAGCATCACAAACTCATAACCTGTAAACACAGTTTCTTCACACATAAACCCAAAAATTCTGTAGTAAAAAAAACATTAATTAGTCCTCTTATAAATCACATGATCAAACACATGAAGAACTGTAATGCTGTAGAAAAGAAAATGCAAATGTTAGCGCTGCACAGGCGTATGCATACTTTCTCACAGTGATCTCTGTGAGCAACACAAGGTAGTGAATAACACCCCTGGTAGATGCACAGACACAGAAAATGGCATTTAAAAGGTAAAACCATCACGCAACCTCGAATGTTGCTGTCAGCCTTCTGCTCCTGTAAAAAGAAACACACATACACTGCACCTTTGTCAGGTGGGGGTTAACTTCGCACAGTCGTGTTACATCAGTAAAGTCTTGTCAGCTTTTACCAGTCAGTCAGTTTTTTTCTCTTTCACTCATTCATTCATACATTCTTTCTTTCTTTGCTGATAGTGGAATCGATCGTCGCATTTAGTTTCCACTCTCAGCAAAATGACGTCATTTCAAAAAGAAAAAGAAGAACTTTAGCTCGGATTACATCACTGAATCCTTTTTGGGCAGGGACTCTCATTTTCTAATTGCATCTCCCAATTTACTATATTAACAACTAAATTAGTTGTACTCACAGTACTCATGTTTCCTTCATATTTTTGTCTTGTATAGTCACCAGCAATGCTGCGACGGACACACGAGTCTTCTCCATTCTCCAGCTGTGACACCAGTGACACCGAGTCCTGCTCGCTGCCGGTCAACAGCGCCTCACTGCTCTACCGGCAGCAGGGCAGCCAGAAGCCCTCAGCAGTCCGGGGACATGTCCTCAGGAAGGCTAAGGTCAGAGGTCACGCTACACAACGCGACTGGCACCAGTCTTTCTCTGAGAATATGATGTGCCTTTAACTTTACATCTCTGACTAGCTCTGTCTTTTGCAAAACTTCAAACTATGCTGGGACCTTTTTGGAAGCACATTGTTTGATCCATTGTTTGGTGTGGACAGGGTCTTTTGTTTTTGAAATCTGGTTTTATTGTCTTTGACTTCCCTGTTTTGTGTGATGTGGCTCCAACAGTAGGCTGAGTATTTTAAGCAATCAACTTCTTGGAACCTTCTGAAAGGCTCTGATACATCTAAAAGATGCATTCCTCGGCTTAAGATCGACATATTTAAATATGAATGTAACGTTAGTATCCCCATTCTTTTAGTCATATGTAATATATGTAATTTTAATTACATTTGTCTTGAACCTGTGTGGTAGCAGTGGAAACAGTGTGAGTTAGCTCATAACAACTTGCATAAGAATGATCGGGTCAGCAGCGTTATGGTTCAGGATTCCTGCAGTGCAGAGAACAGCTGTGTGTGTGTGTGTGTGTGTGTGTGTGTGTGTGTGTGTGTGTGTGTGTGTGTGTGTGTGTGTCAAGGTCCACAGAGGAGTTCCACCAACTAGATAACCAGTGAGGCTAATAAAGTTTGTATTTCACTGCATGCTACAGTGAACTACAAGAGAGTTTAGGTACTCCACAAACACGCACACAAGTGTGATGTAGTTGCTCATTTGATTTGGTACTGACTAGCAATGAAAAATGCATTGAGGTAGTAAACAAATGAGGGAATCCCAGTAAATGCAAATACTTGCAATCTGTGTACAAGTATGCAAACCAAATCTTTGTGTTTGTTTGCAGGAATGGGAACAGAAGACCGGCACATAAACCCATCACATACACCCTTGCATCAGTCTTCCTCCAATCTCTTTTTTTGAAATTGTGTATATATTTATTTAAAAAACAAAAAACAAAACCTGTTCATACCGTCAGAAGGTGTGCTGAGGAGGATACATGCATAGCATTCACATGCCTAGTTTGAGTATACTGTAAGTACCACAACATAAACTTTTATACTATTGAGCATGTTCAGTGTACTTGGTTGTGCAACTTGTGTTTTCCGCTTTGACATCTTTTCAAGCAAACACCTGTCTTTATTTTTCCTCTCAAAATGTGTTCCAGCCATTTGAAGTTAAAAAGGTCCAAGGTCAAAACCAAGTATTTATTTGTAAATGTTAAAGGAAATACTAGCTTCCCTGTGTTTATTTATGTTGACGTATTTAAAGTATTTTCGTAGAGTCTGTGGCTTTGCTCACACTCCATTTTCCCACAACATAATTGGTCATCAGTCATGATGCCTCTGTTGTAGTAACGATAATTGTAACACACACCAGCCTGGCAACAATGTAGCTCCTCTCTCATTGATGTTTGAAGAAGTACAAATACAATTGTCCCAACTGTCAGAAACACCGACTCATGGCTAGCAGAAGATTTTGTTAATTGTGTTAAGTGTTTTCACACACAGATCATGATGAATCACACTTGAAGTGTGTTTTAATATGAATGTCCATATTTTATATCTGTGACTTTATTGCTATGGGTAATCCAATGGTAAGTTTGTGTTGGTTTGGTAAGTTCCTTGTTTATTCTGTTTGTTTCAGCTTTTCTTTTTGCATTAAAACAACCATGACTGAATACAGACGTGTGGTCTGGACAACTTCCAAAGAGATGTCTTTTTCTGCCAGTTTAGAGAAGTTTATGAACAGAAAGCTGACCATCTAACTGAAAGTAGATTAGATGCTGAGTCAAATATAAATATAACCTGTTAAATTCACATATAAGATTTTTTTTTTTTTTTTAATATATGTGGTGAAATATGTGAACATTGTTAATATAAAGAGTAGGCGGGGCAGAAAAGACAGGAAAGGTGTAACACTTAAAGAACAACAGGATGCCTTACAGTTAGATTAGATTGTTATAGCCAACCATGTTACTAAGTGAAATTAGTGTGCATGGCATGGGAAGCTCGCTCATTCTGTGAAGGCACCATTAATGATGTAAACAAGTTTAGGAACAACATACAGTCAGGTGACATTTTTTAAGAGTACCTGCCAGCAGTCCAGACTCTCACTCACTGGTGAAAGTTAAAATTGAAAATATGACAAATTATACCAGTTTATCAAGAAAGGCCAAACTGGTGACAGACCCAAATAAAATACATATTATACAGCCTATATGTTTATTAAAATGTTTCTAATTAAGGCCTCACTAAGAGCATCATCATCCATGCTTTGTAATAGTTGTATTGTTAATGGAGAACTTGCGCTTCTTTCTGTGTGTGTGTGCTTGTGTTGCTCAGAGATGTCTTCATGGCACATTGCAAATCCTTCAACATTACACTGACTAAAAGGGGGGCACTTGTAAACTCACACTGCTGTGTGTTCTGCTCAATCAAAGACTGTGAGTTTGATTTCCACACTGTTAAACACACATACATTCATCAGTGTCACACTGATAATGGTGTTTCTTTTCTGTTGTTGTTGTTGTTTTTGGACGATGTTTCACTGCCTAAGCTTTGCTACTATGTATATAAGGCTAATTTACTTTATGGGGAGTGTTGACAGATGTAGTGAAAGCATGCACTCAGTTTGGAACTCATTGAACACACAGACACTCACTGGTTCGTGGTGATGTAAATATTTCCTGTCTCCTGCCTGCCGGAATGATATCCCGAAGGTTTTACAAGCATGTTAGCTTAAAGATGGGACAAGAGATGGTGGTCAGCAAGTGTTGACCTGCAACAAAAAAGGATGTCTGATGTCAGTAAATGTGAACCTGCTGTACATAGCTTGGTAAATGTAGTACTGTAGAAGGGCGGGAGGGCTTTGAATTTTTTTTCTTTTTCTTTTGCACCATATACATTTTCTCTTGTTTTATATCACAGACAGTCTCCAACTCGGGGACAGGCACACTTGTACATAAATTAATAAACCTCCGAACAAACCGGCCTCGGACTTTGTGCCTTATTGTTGGTTCTTTTCAAAAGTAATGTAATGTAATGCAATGTAATGACCACAGAACAGTTTTCCAATCGTTTTAAATGAGCTTTGGCCCAGGGCAAATGGCAGTGTTTCCAGACCTATTCACATCTGGCTTCTTCTTTAAATGTTAGAACTTTAACCTGAATTTGTAGATAGATCTAGATATAAACTTTTCATAGACATTGGAAGGAACACTTCCAGAAATCAGTGTTCTACAGGTTATGCACATCCAATACTCAGAATCCATCATCATTCCTAGCATTAAAAGTGTAAGAGGTTAGAACTTTTCTAGTGACAGAGTCAGAAATTTTCTTTAAATTTGTCAGTAGAGTTTCACTTTAGTCATGTGTATGGTAGACCTAGTCTATAGAGCTTCATCAGGACAGAGTAGATTTCACGGTTCTACAATTCTCATGTCAGAAGAAGCTTTTATGTTGTTCTTTGATGGTCAGTGTACGTTCACAATTATTTTCATTTTGTTGACACAGACAAAAGCAGAAATTTTCTCAATGTATATTTTGCAAAAATGGAAGTTTTTTTCTTCCAATTTTTGTTTTTTGATTAATTCAAGCCATCAAACCCAGCAAGATTTAGATAGTTTGTGTGTAGCTGACTGACAATAATGAATCCATTTAGAAAATAATTGTACTTTTTAATAGTGAGAACGTAGTGATGGATGTTTACTGATTAGTGGATGACTGGAATGTATAGTGTATGATTGTAATTTACAAAATATAACCAGAGGTGATGTGATGCTTGTGTGATTTTTTTTTTTAACAGGACCCTACAGTAGGATGAGTACCCTAAGTTCACCAACCTTTTGATGGCTAGGTGTGCAGTTCCTGCTTTAAATGCATTCACTTTTTACATTCAGAAATTAAAATCAAGAGGCAAGAAATGTTTGCACACACTTATGAACTTAAATCAATAAGTGTATTGATGTATGCTCAATCATCCAGGTAAGGAAATCTTAAAAAGTTGATTCTGTTCATCAAGTCTTATCTTTTTTTAGTGGGAGAAACATTTTGTCACTCATCCAAAAAAGGTACATAAGATGAATAGAATAAACTTTTGCCGGTTAGAATAATAGTGTCACTGCCCTCTGCTAAGACTGGAGATAATATAAGGAATGAGAGAATTGACAGCTATTGTGTTATTTCGCCCTGTCATCGTTCTTTTAACTCTAAGTATCATAAAGTAATGTGGTGACATGTGGAGGGATGTGTTTCCAGACAGCATTTTAGGCACGAGTTAGGCTGTAGGTTGCAGGCACTGATCTCACATTGTGTAAGTGTAGCTGGTTCTAATAGTCTGAGCTGCTTGAAGCTTTATTCGTGAAGAGCACATTAACTTACAAAAAACGTTGCTAGCTAGTTCAGCTGGGTAATATTTTCTTAGAACAGCGGGGCTACATGCGGTGATGCTAGAATTAGCCATGGTATCAAACTACCTTCAACAGGTGGTCAAGCTGAGTCCACAGGTGCACCACGTTTCCCCGGAGAGCTCCTTCATTCTTCATATATCCGTGGCAAACCCCGGAAGCGCGCCATCTGTCGCTAAGCGTGTCGAATTGCATCCTGAGAAGGGAGGGGGGAACCTCCGGAAGCGCGCCACCTGTTGTTGGGAAAAAAAGAAAAAAGTTTTTAGAGGGAGGAGAATAAAAGCAGAGAGGAGGAGGTCACAATTTCTAAGGCACAGACACAAGATGGATTTCCTTCTGCAGCCCAGCAGCGCTCCTGTTTACTTGGACGGCGAAGAGATCTGCTCCCCCGAGGCCGCGAGCATGGGAGGCAACAGCTAGGGAGATCAGAGAGGG